CAAAACCCATTTAACATTTTTCCCAAAGATAAAATAACAATATTGTCAAAATTTTACACAATCATAAATAAAGCCTTAAATCAGATGCCACAATCATGTGAAAATTTTATTTAAATCATTGTCAAAACAATTGGGCTCGTTTGGAAACTTAACTATTTTAGTTGGCTTTTTGACTATTTTATGAGATGGAAAAAAGTTGTATTTGGGATGATTTATGGAATTTTTTTTTTTGTTGTCAAATTGATGGTTGTGAGAGAAAAAGTAATTGATTCATGGGTAGGATGTGACATTTTGTCTTTATTGGTTACTTTAGCCAAAAAAAGCTAATATATGGCCATTCTGTAGCCTAGCTACCTCATTAGACTTCCAAAACTTGAGATAAACAAAACAGAAAGGATTGGAAATGTGCACAACATCACAGCAGTTAATATCTAAAGTGAAATGTGAATTAATATCTAAAGTGAAACGTGAGATAACACTAGTAGAGAAATGAATAATTGAAACCAACCTGGGTAACAAAAGAACCACCAGCACGACCAAGTCCCGAAGAACACATTCCTGAAAGTCCAGGATCTTGGCCATACAACAAAATTCCAGAAGAATGGATATTTGAATCAAAATGGGTTTCACGGTCGTGAAATAAAGGATCTCTCTTCACTGCAAGAGGATAATCAGCACCCATCCCAATTTGAGAAGTACTATACAGCAATGACTTCTCAGCCCAGGTTTCTACTTGGCGTTCCTGTGAGGCTGGTGTATTGTACTGTAGAAAAAGGCAGAACAACAATAAGTTCCCAATGCCATAATCTATTACTTCGTAAACCTTCAGAGTAACAGGACTCACACTCTTTTCAAATAGGGGAAGAACGCTTTGGTCCACCAAGAATTTCCTTAAGTGGCCCACCACAACTTCCACAGCTTTAAAAGCCTTCAGAGATTCTCCCTGCATCTCAACAATCCTCTCCTCTGAGTTGGCATAATGTGTCACCTCTTCTGCCAGAAGAAAATATTAACCGACCTAGTCATCAGTATGCAAACATACAACAGAGAAAGAAAGAAAAAGGAGCTTAAAGTAATTAGAAAGCAAAAGTCCAATAAGAAAAATACCTGAAACCATTTTAAAGCACAAAACAAAAATGTCTTCATATAAATGAGGGCCTATTCAGAGTGTTTGGAACTATGTACATCAATAGGCATCAAATATTCTCCATCCATAGATAATATAATGCCCAGGATGACTAGCTTTATAATATCTCCGCCAAACTTCTAACATCAACATCTAAGACTGCATACATGTGGTTGGCTGATTTTGACTTTGCTGAGTTGAGTAGCCTTTTCATATTTAAATAGCATTACGTTTTTCTATATTCCTTGTAATTTTTGGTGCTGCAACAGACAATGTATGTTTCTTCTGAAAACTGAAAAGGAAAGGCATTCTAATCCATTGGTGGAACTCCTAATCCAAAGTCTTTAATGAGTCCAAGTACAATTAAGGCCCAAACCTCTTTCCATTCTAATATTTCTAAGCTCAAGATTAGCTCTCATTGTTATGATGGATTTCAACCACTAATAATGAGGGAGGATGCTTGAGTTAGAAGCAAATTGTACAAGTGGCTAGGAAGGTGTTTGAATTGAAAGGCATGGATAACATTTTAGAGGATTAGACTTCTCCAGTAGTGAATTAGCCGGTTTTAATGGAGAAGAAGGATAGAGGCTTAAATATTTACTGGAAGGAGAAAGAAATTAAAAGACTTCTATGTTTCATTATTATGATGGTAAGAAGGGGTGTGAGCCTTTAAGGGAGGTGTGGACTGAAGAAAGCTGTTAGTCCTTTATTTGTCTTCATGGAGAAGTTGGAGAAGAATCCATTTATTTTTTGTCATTGTTATTCATAAGCTGGAAGGAGAAAAAATAAAAATCATGACACATGATGATAGAGCTTCCTTTGTAAATTTAGCACTAATTTGAATTTTATTTGTTGGTTGTTGATTTTTTGTGGCTGTTGGTAATCAGGATTTGGTTATTTCTATTTTATGCACTTTTTTTTCTTCTTTCTTTTTTTCTTTATTTTTCAGTTCAACACTAGGCTCCCAAACACAACCAACCTGTAACAAACCTGCCCAACACATCCCATAACTCAATATACAAAGTAAAGAGGATACAAACATGATAATAAACAACTACCAACATCCACGGACACATGTCCAGATCACTGTACAACAAGGGTAAACCCGGGATCGCTATAGGCAGCATAGTAAACTTTCAAAAATTAATAAGCTAGTATAAACATGAAAGGGAAAAAATGATGTGAACAAAAAATTGTCAACTATAAATTCATAAATTCAATCTAGCATAAGACCAATAGGGCCAATAATTGCCACCAAAATCGAAAGGCAACATCGTAGATGATGCACATGGAAAAAATCCAGTAATAGTAAACAATTTAGTAGCTTTTGAAGCAACTAAAGAATACCACTTGAGAGAACCCGAATGGAGGCACCGGTGCTTTCCTGTATTGACTTGATTAAAGAGCCTTGCTTTCCAATTAGATTAATGGCTTGCGTGGATGCCAC